CAATTCCTAATCAGATTAGAATCACAAATGTGGTTCATTTCTACTGGATAGTTTATTATATGTATGGGAATAGCCTTTGAGCTTACTGTGAAGAGAATTCTTATCTACATTAAATATTTTGAATTATTAAAACTAACATCAACATCAACCTTCATTTTTAAAACTTGAATGCTTTATGAGTTTTCTAGCCCAAAAGTGAAGCAAATGACAGAAGAGATATCAGAAGAGTGTTTAGTATGTCTGATCTAAATAGTTTCAGTGTTAGTCTCTAAGTAATGGCTAACAATTGATGACTAACAGGTCTTAGAGTTTGCTGCATAGGGGAATAGCAAAAAGAAAAGGATCTTTATCTCTCCTTAATTTTTTTTGGAGTTTCACTTGTAATTGGATGGGTAATACAAAGGCATGAGGAAGTCTTAATATTTAAAGCTAAAAAAATCAGTTCAATAGGCAAGCAGTGTGTGATGCTCTGGCGGTTCAAATATGATTAAATTGTGGTCCCCAACTGCCTGAGGTTTTTAAATTTGCAAAGAAGATAAACATAAATGACTATAATGCAACAGGAACCTAGGATGTTATTTGGAAACAAAAAGGAAAACTTTTGTCAAGAAGAATCAAGAAAAGTTTAAGCCAGAAGATTCATTTGAGCTTGAATTTTTTTTTTTCAGGGCTTTCACTAGGAGATGAAACAGCATGTGCAAAAGAGTAAAGATGTGCGAGTTAGTTAAATGTTTGAGTCTATAGTGGTTTAGCGAAGGAAAAGAGTGGGGAAATATCTGAGAAAGTAGGCAGAGGCCAAGTTTTGAAGAGCCATGAGTATCATGGAAAGAATTTAGGTTTGTCTGCTGCATAGAATAACTATTCTCAATATGGGCAATGAAGGAATATTTCCTTTATTGGGCATATCAGAATCAGGAAAGGGGCTTTACCAAGTAACATATTTCCTTGGAGATTCTGAAATGACCCAAGTGAAAGTCATTGCCAAAAGAACCCATTGACATTGTGATGTTATACTATCTGAGCTGTGTTAGAGCAGAATATAGATTAAGAACAGTTGTTTTTGGTTCCACCTCTGGCTCCCATTGGGATCTCTTGCGGTGCTTTAAAGACACCAGTGCAAAGGCATCATCTCAGACTCATTAAATGAGGATCTCTGGGGATGGACCTCAGTGTCAGTGTCGTCCACAAAGCTCTCCAGCTGATTCTAATGGAAGCAGGGCTTGAGAACCTCTTTATTAGAAAGATTAAAAATTGTGCCACTAGGAAAAAAAAGGGATAATCAAAACAGGATTGTTTAAGTGGCATTGTTCTCTCAAAGCTAATAAGTTTGAATCTTCTTAAGAGGTGGCTATATATCATTATAACAGACCATTGCAGGTGAGAAGAGGATGTGATTTAAAATGAAAGCAATTGAAGCAAACAAATTAAGAGTAAAGGAGATAGATAAAACTTAAAGACTGGAAATATGTCAAAATTCAGCACCTGTGTCTTTTCAAATGACGTATTGGGTCATATCCGCAGATTTTTAGCAGGGGAGGGAGAGGCAAAAACTTAAGTCTTTCATTGTATGTCCTAAAGAACTTTGTTCTAAAAACGAATGGAGGGTTTATAATTGTACACTGCTTACAAGCACATGTTCAATCTGTAAGTAAAGTTAACAGGATATAAAGGCATTTGTTTCCTTGACCTGGCTTTATCTGTAGTTTCGATTCTAAGAGGCTAGGCTTGACACTTCCTAAAGATTCCCAGGATCCTGGGCAAAGATTGGGAGTACATGATTATCTAACAGAAAGTTCTACTCTGTATTAGAATCATCAAATCATCACCAGTCTCTCTAGCTATCTATCTAGATAAAGGAGGGGGAATAGCACATAATATTCATGTACAAAGTAGAAGTGGTAACTAACAGGAAATAAAAATAGTGTCTAAAGATTAGCTTTCCCGAAGCTTCAATTCATGGTATGCATGTACTTGAGGTGCTTCATTTATAATAGAGCCAGACACAATGTAAAATAATTGACATAATATGGACAGACAGAATGAATGAGGTGCTTATTATTTTAATCACTTTGAGTTACTCTGCCATACCGAGGTGAAGAACACAACCAAGACAAAATTGAAATGATCAAAAGATTATGGAACAGGAAAGGTCAAAGGCAAGTGTTTTTTCGGGGGGTGAGGGACAGAGAGAGGCAATTAAATGTTAGAGATCCAGAAAGGTTTTTACTATCATCTCAGCATACTGGTATACAGTACCTAGCAATTCATTGTTTTCCTTATTTGGTTATTCTCCATATCAGTGAATACAGTATGTAAGGAACCCATTCATGGAATCTCTGCCTAGTAATCGACTCCTTATCTTGGGTGCTTGCAAAAGAGGAAGATAATTGGAAGAGGACAATATTTGCAAAAGACCTAGATGCATGAAAGAGCATGGACCAGTTTAGAAGACTGGAATCCAAGGCGTATCTGGGGAATAGACAGGAACCAGTACTGGAGAAGTTGGTCAGAAAGCAAATCAGAAGAGCTGTTGATGTGTCTGTGCCAAAAAGTTACATTGTTAGTCTGCAAGTAATAGCTAATTATTGAAGGGATTTTAAGGACTAGGGATCTGCATTTATTATTATTATTTTCAAAATCTTGGAACCAAAGTGGCTAAATTTGAGTCAAGAAAATGCTCATGCCTTTGTCTAGATAAAGAAAATGCTCATCGCTTTTGTTCAGTGAAAGATTGAGGCGGTGGGGGTGAAAAAGAAGGAAATGAATCAGAGAAATCAATAACAATTGGAAAACAGCATGTTGAGGATGAGAGAGAGTAGGAAATCCAGCATGGCGTCAGGTTTATGGATGTGCTGACTGGGAGGCAATGTGGCCCTTAATGGAGAGGAGAAATTTCAGAGGAAGAACAAATTGAGGTTCAGCAGCAGTGACTTCACTTTCCAACCTGTTGAATCTGAGGCAGTTGGTTAAATATTCAAGTAGATTAATCCAGAGGATAGTTGGAAATATGGTCTTGACGTACCAACTTAGAAGGTACTCACCTAGTGTCATTTATCATATGAGTATATGTAGAAAGATTGTGTAGGGTAAGAAGGAAAGAACTGGCAGGGAGGATGCCCAGAGAACCACAGTTAAGGGATGAATGAATGCAAATTAGTCTACAGATTGACTAGAGACAGCAGAGAAGTAGGAGGTGAACAAAAGGAGAGAGGTAAAATCGAGTTCAGGGAAGCAGAATTTCAATGCTTGTGCAACAGTCAACTCAAATAAATGGGGCACAAAGGTCAAAATCACTGAAAAGTGCTGATTGAATGCAATAATCAAATCATGGAGTTTCAATAGGATAGTGGGAATAGGAGCCAGTAATTGGGGGGAAAACGAATGAATGAGAAAAATAAAGCATGGGTTGAGTGCTTTTTTCAAAAATTTCTGCTGTGAAGGAAAAGAGGTAGGGTTAAAAATACAATTGCTAAAGGAATTTAAGAAGTATTTTGGTATATTTGGGATGTCTATATTTGTTTTAGAAGCATAGAGCATGTAGACAAGGTATGGGACCAGGAAGGACACCCAGAGCTAAGAGCAAGCTGATGGGGCCACTGGCCTCTGATTTGCCGAGACAATAATAATGATGGCAAACTGAAATAGTACTTACTATGCTACAAACACTCTTCTGTATTTTGTTAACATGTATTAATTTGCTTCCCTGGCATATCTGCTCTGTCACGTCCATTTTATAATCCCCATTTTGCTTATAAAAAACTGAGGTACAAAGAGGTAAACTTAACTGCCTGATTTGTGTTTTGCCTGCTACACTAAACAAATGCATTACCTCAGAGCTGCTAAAATGATATATACTTGTACACATCAGCTTCAACAGATTTAGAAGATCCTTGATTGAGTGGTAGAAAGAAGAGGTAGAGACCAGGGCTTTTGCTATAGATACAAGATTTCATCTTGTGGAGTTTATAATCTGATGAGGGGGGGGCAGAAACTAAGTTCACCAAAAATATTTCCCTTATTAGGGGAAGTTTCACCATGCAATATGTCTTTGCAATTCTTTCATATCATTAAAAAGTTGAGAATTGAGTAAAATTATTGTCTCTTGAATATTTGACTGTTAATCTTGAAAGAAAGTTTAGTTGAGAATAACAGCTGAGAGTCAGTTTGTTGTGACAGAACTGAACTAGTCATTAGAATGAATTAAAATGTGGGTAATTCAGGGTGGTAATCAGGGCTAGAATGTGGGTGGAAGTGGACAGGAAAGAAAGAGAGAAATGAAGATGGAAATGATAGGATGTTGAAACAAAGATTATCTTGATCACACAGTTGAGTGAAGCTCGAAATTACTTTTAGGTAATTGGTAAAACTCACAAAAGGCTAGGTAAACTTTTGTATTTGAGTCACATTGCTTATCCTGATTGCTTGAGCTTTTCCTAGTTTTATGCCTATCCCTCTACAAAAGTAGCATTGTTTGAAAATTTTAAAAAATAATTAGGAATTTTTTAGTCTCTTGCTCTGCTATTAGTATTAGCAACAGAACTAACAGTAAGATTTATCCAAATCTTTCTATGTTCCAGGCACAATGCCTGCTATTTTATATGAAGTATTTCATTTTACTTTTATAAAAGTCCTAGAATGGCTCACTATTATTCTTACTTTACACGTGAAGAAACTCGGGCTTAGAGACACAGCATTCCCTGTCTAAGGTCATAGAACTTTCAAGTGCCTAAGCCAAGATGTGAGCCAGGTGGTGAGACTCCAAACCCAAGCACTCAAAACTCTGCACTGTACAAGAAATAGACAGTGTCCTGATCTAGCCACTTCCTTCAGAGTTGGCTCAGAGCTACCATGTCCACATGTGAGAAGATTAGCCTTCGAAAAACTTTGTCTTTCAATTCTTCTGACTATAGTTCTTTAGGCCTTTGTTCTTGAGAATGAATATTAGGGGAATGAATATTAGGGGAAACCTAGTAAAAAATAGTTAAAAGTTATCTTTTTTTTGCAACACCAGACAAATGGTAGATCTCTTCATAATTCATTCTGCTGAACTATGCAAACATCATAGTATAAAAGTTATCTCAATCAAGGTAGAGAAGCTTCCTATGTTTATATCTTGCTTGACAAGGCTGTTAAAAACATTTCTTTACTTTTTCAATGCAAAAGGGAGCTGTACTTGTGTGTGCTTAGTTGTTCTGGATACCTGTGTTGAAATTATACTGAAGAGAGTCTCGATAAGCAAGGCACTTGGGACAATGAAAGTGAATATAACTATCCCAGTGATGTTTATCCATCCATCTCTTCCAAGCTATGTACTTGCTGTGCCACCTGCTGAGATACAGAAATAAAGACAATATTGTCACCAATTTCATCTTTTGGAGTTTATAATCTCATGGGGGAAGCAGAAATTTTAAAAGCTGACCAAAAATATTTAATTACTTTTAACTGGATTTTGAAAACTCTAATAAAATTCTAAATGTGATTGTTTTCCAGTTAACTGTAATGGTCTTGAATACTGGGGAACAGGCTAGTTAATGAATGTGAGTATACTAGCTCTGTGTTAGTAAGTGTACAATTATAGACTCAGTGTATTAAAATAACTGAGGCAATAAGTATTAAAAAGGCTACTGTCTTCCATAGGTTAAAGTGCTGTGTAAGTAGAAGAAAATTGCATACTTTAATATCTTCATTATTTATGTTCTACATTGCTTATTTATTGCTGTATTATCAAACAGACAAATACTGATCTTGGGCTGCTGTTATAGGGAAACTTAAAAAAAATAAGTTATCACTGGTTCTTTCCTTACTGCTTGTTTCTGCTGTATTGTTCTGGAAACTCAGTGAAAGAGACATTCTAAGGAAGACTAGAAGAACAGCAGCCCTAAGCCAGAAGATCTCCAAACCTATTTTTTCTGTATAGTTTTATTTTATTTTATTCTTTTTTTAAATTGCATTTTAGGTTTTGGGGTACATGTGAAGAACATGCAAGATTGTTGCATAGGTACACACATGGCAGTGTTATTGGCTGCCTTCTTCCCCCTCACCTATATCTGGCATTTCTCCCCATGCTCTCTCTCCCCAACTCCCCACCCCCAGCTGTCTCTCTATTTCCCCCCGGCAGACCCCAGTGTGTGATGCTCACCTCCCTGTGTCCATGTGTTCTCATTGTTCAACACCCACTTATGAGTGAGAACATGTGGTATTTGATTTTCTGTTCTTATGTCAGTGTGCTGAGAATGATGGTTAGACACTTTACAAAAGAAGACATATATGAGGCCAACAAACATGAAAAAATGCTCATCATCACTGGTCATTAGAGAAATGCAAATCAAAACTGCATTAAGAAACCATCTCACGCCAGTTAGAATGGCGATCATTAAAAAATCTGGAGACAACAGGTCCTGGAGAGGATGTGGAGAAATAATTTTTTGAAACCAAACCCCAAAGTTATAAAGTGATATTCAAGTATGTCCAAAGCTTTATTAAAAGTTTTGTGTTTGATATTAAAACTGGGTAAGAGTTCCTAGGAAACAGATGTACTTGAAGCCTTAATCCATGAAAATTACCTCCCTTGAGCTTAGGCTGGATGAAATTGTGCTTTGTCTCCTGCCTGTTTAGGTCCCTGGAAAATGCATAGAGTGAAATTTACACTGTTATGGATTCCTGAAAGAATGTCTCTGTATTTCCCTGCGTTTATATGGGCCATGCTACAGTGGCACAGTGACAGTATTATTAGTTTCTAAATTCCTAAATTGGTTTTTAATAAACTCATGACTTTCTTTCCCACTGAATTTTCTGACAGGCCCAGTTTGAACTTCAGACATTTCATATCCGGGGCGAGCATGCAGCGATAACAGCGAGACTAGAAGAAACGATTGAAAATCTGAAACACGAGTTAGAACACAGATGGCGAGGGGGTTGTGAAGAGAGGAAAGATGCATGCATTTCCACCGAAGATGACTGCCCTCCAAAGACCTATAGAAATGTGTGCATCCAGACAGACAGAGAGACATTCCTCAAGCCCAGCGAAGGTGAAAGCAAGACAACCAGAAGTAATCAATTAGTACCCAAAAAGCTGAATATCTCCTCGTTAAGCCAGCTCTCTCCCCCAAACGACAACAAAGACATCCATGCAGCACTCCAGCCAATGGAAGGCTCCGAGTCAAATCTGCAGAGGGCACCAGCCTCCACCTCCTGCACCGCCCCTGCCGGCATCCATCCCTCCCCCTCCACCTCTTCCCCCAGGACTTGGGTCTTTGTCTCCAGCACCTCCAATGCCACCTGTGAGTGCTGGGCCACCACCACCACCTCCGCCGCCACCTCCACCACCACCTCTACCTCCACCTTCAAGTGTTGGACCTCCACCACCCCCACCCCCACCCCCACTTCCTAACTTCCCTGCCCCACCCAAAGCTGGAGGGCCTCCTCCTGCTCCAACCCCACCAGGACTTGCACCCCCACCTCCCCCTGGACTCTTCTTTGGACTTGGCTCTTCTTCCAGTCAATGTCCTCGAAAACCAGCCATTGAGCCCAGTTGTCCCATGAAGCCTTTATACTGGACTAGGATACAAATAAGTGATAGGAGGTAAGCTCTCCCGTATCCCATTCTCAGCATGTGAATTCCCAGGATTTTGCCCAAATTACGTTTTATTCTTACTGGGTCAATATGTCCATAGTGTAACGCCCATTATCTAGTGTGATACAGTGAATGCCTTGGATAAACAAGGTTGGGATGTTTGGGGAGAATGTCTGTCTCCAGCAAGGCCTCTCTGTATTCTCTAAAGTTGCTGGGAGAAACAATGTGTTTCAGTGTCAAATTTTTCTCTAAGGCAAATGTTCAATTGTATAGACTGGAGTCCAGGTCTAAACCAGGGCTTTCCCCAACATCGCTACAACTGATGAGTAATCATAAAGAATTGAACCTGATTCTGTACTGTAGGTTCACTGAGGATTTTTCTAATACTTTTTACTGTCTTGTTTTTAGATGCTGTAATCAACCTATAATCTAGATATTTAATAGAAATGGGTGTTTTTCAATTTTTATTAAAAGAACAAGATATGGATAAGTTATTAGTTCTTTAGAGGAGAGTCTTAAAATATAAACTCTCTCTGCTTGAACGCTATTTCTTCTAACTTTTAAATACTCTCACATCTTTCTTTATACCTTGATGCCCTTCAAAGAAAGTATCAGTATGTGGATAGCTGAAAGCATCTTCCGTGTATATAGGTTGATAAGCTAGGTTTGTAAGGTAGCAAGATACAGTTGCTTGGAAACATCATTCAAACAGATTTGAATGTGATTTGTTCGGCCTTATTTTTGAGTCTGGAAGGAGGACAATGAGAGAGATGTTGCCTCTGCCACTTTCTCCTTTAAAATTTATTTGCAAAGAACAACAAATATGGGACACATTTTACAACTGTTCCCAAGTCATGATGTGGTAGTAAATTCTTCAATTTATGGAACATTTTGCTTACGGAAGGCAGGTTATGAAACAAAATAACACACAACTCACAATTATAAAACAGCCAGAAATCACTGGAGGAATGGAGAATACCTTAAAACTAAGCATATGTGCTTCATATTTTCCCCCTTTCCTCTCGCCAAAAAATAAGTGCCAAGAGTTAATTTTTGGAATATCCTGATACTTCTTTTTTCAAAATTTAATTATACTTTGTAATTTCCCAAATGAATAGTTAATAAAAAAGTGAGATGATCCTATAATAACTTCTGCCATTAACTAAAGTACTAGTATTCCCTTTTCCCCAATAAAGACTCAGACATTTCCTAAAAAAATCATTTCCCAGAATATTTATTCTGAGTCATGTTTCCTTATTAGTGTTCTCGAATTAGTGGACAGCCGTTCCAGGGTGATGGCTGCCACCTGCAAGCCTTGGACGAGTGTGTCCGGCAGTGCAGGGAACTGTTCCACACCTGTGTCCTACTAGCCTGCTTTCACTTCCTTCCCTGAGACACTTCATGAGCAACAGATACTGTAGACCACAGCAGCCATAAAACAGTGGCATTGGGAGATATGGGCCCTTCACCCAAGACAAAGGGAAAGCTAGGGATAATTATTGTCAGCCTTGTTTCCTCCTTATGTAGTTGGCCATTTGGAGAAGAAAACCAATTAGATACTCAAGGTCTCATTGGTTTCATCATAAATCTAGGCCTTTACTTTTGAGCAAATGAAAAGCAGATGAATAGGACATCAAGAGAGCCCTGTTTGGTGAGCATATCACCCTTGAGCCTGAAATATAACATAGGGGCTGCCCTGCTATGATATGTTACGACTTATTACATGGGGACTTCCTGATGACACCACATATTCAATCTCTTTTATTATGGGTCCCTCCAACTTTTTCTACTTGTTAGAACTACTGCTTTTAAATGAAAATGATTCAGAGTCTGTGGAGTATTTGCTTATGAGCAAAAGTGCAATTATTTGGGTACCTTCTTATAAAGGAGGCAAAATTGTATTTTAATATTTTGTGCAACTAGAGGAGTAAGTAGTTTATATAATGATTGCATCATAAATATTGGTCTTGCTTTTTGGGAAGCCAGAAACAAAATGTGAATTTTCAGCATTATATATACACTGCCACTCATCCACCTAAATTGCTTTTGACTACTGGTATGAACTGATTTTTTTATTTTGCCATTTTGCCTTCTTCGGTGTCTGTTTTGTGATTTCTAGAATTAGAAAGAGACAATTAGTTAAAGAAAAATAAATCCCCATCTAACTACCTTTTAAGCTTTTTAGTAAGTTTCTCATTTTCCTCCTCTTCTTTCATTCTCTCCCTCCCCTGCTTTCCATGTGAGCTAGAATTGTATGTTCAGTGGTCAGTTGACCACCATGGCAGGTCATTCACTGTGAAGCAGATCCTTATTATTGCCCTACCAAATGCCAGCTATCCCCAAATCACTGAGAGGCAGTGTTCCAAAATTCTTTTATTCAGTGTTGGAAATGCCTTTCCGATAGACATAGTGTTGTAAATGGAGATCAGGTGCTCAAACTGATCACCATTGATTCCCAAAGCCAATTTACACCGGAGTATAAGTGAATTATAATACTAGTTATATTGGCCTGATCTCAGAGTCCATGTAGCTAGAACCAACCAGGTGCAGGAAGTGGGGATGGGGCTGAGCAGTTGGCCTATCACATTGTATCACCTCACTCTAAGCATCACTCCTTAGCTGCCCAGAACCTTCCTGAGGCCCATACCAGTGGCCCTTAATATGCCACATGCTCACTCCAGAATTCCATGGCTGGGTTCCTCAATCAAGATCCCACCTTTCCCCACCTCTCCCCCAGCACAACAATGATAAGCACTGAACATTAGTGGTGCTCATGTTTCAAGTTGAAGTTAGGTGAGTAGCAGAGGGGTATGGCTGAGGGAGGAACACATACAGGGATATACTTCACTGAAAATGTTCTAGCCCTTGGGTTGGGTAATGGTTTCCCAGGTGTTCATTATATTGTTATACTTTATAACTTCCATGTCACATATATACTATTAAATGGTTCAACCATTAGAAAAATCATAATTTAAAAAATAACAAAAAGCAGAGGAGACAAGGGGTGAATGTGGCCAAAACCAAAATGTCATATATCATGGGAAAGGCAGCTCTATTGCAAAATGTGAACATGCATGCCTGAGAAGCCAGTGCTGCCAACTGTTTTAAATATCAAAATCAACTGTAGTATCAAAAAGTTTGGTGGACCATTCTATATAATAATAGTTATCTTTTTAGTTTTCATTGAGAAAATATGTTTGGAAACAGAGGTATGTATTTTAGATGTTATGGATTGTAACATGTACGTATGTTTGATAAATGATAAGTATGTAGATAAAATTTTTTCCTGTCTGTGGGCATTGAGAGTGTTTATTATTATTTTTGAGATGTACTTTGGTTCTGTCACCTGTGCAGTGACACAATCTTGGCTCATTGCAACCTATGCCTCCCAGGTTCAAACAATCCTTCTGCCTCAGCCTCCCAAGTAGCTGGGATTACAGGCGCACTCCACCACGCCCAGCTAATTTTTTGTATTTTTAGTAAAGACAGGGTTTCACCATGTTGGCCAGGATGGTCTTGAACTCCTGATCTCAAGTAATCTGCCCACCTCAACCTCCCAAAGTGCTTTTCTTTCTTCCCTCCCAAACTTGAGTGCTCATTTCTGGAAGTCAAGTCAGCACAATTACCCTGTGGCTGCTTTAGTTGAAATCCCATGAGGGCTGGTATAATGGAGAAGGCTTCTGATTGGTTTCTGATGTTACATTGTTTAGGGGATGTAGAGACTATAAATCATGTTATTTTAAAATAAGCTCAGCCTCTGCACAGATTAAGGACTCTGCACTGAGTTAACCTGCATGAATCCTAAAAGCTGTATTTAAAAGTAGTTGAAAAAGTCCAAAGAGGAGGCAGATCTTTAATTTGGTACTCCATTTTCAATCTACTTCAGAATTATCCTGTCAAAGACTCAAATTGTTTTATATTTTCAGCCTTTATATGATGCCGATTTTTACGCATCATGGAAATGCCCAGACTGAAGGAGGAGCAGCTTGGGTGCCCCTAGTAATCCAAATCCCAGGATTTGTAGCCCCAAGGAGTTCTCTAGAGCTCTGTCTCTGATTGTACCTAATGACAGTCGGTTTTTTTCCGAAATATGTCTGCGTGTGTTTCAATGTTCTGTAGTATATTTTGACTTTAACAAATGCATAATATGAAAAACTTTTCTCCAAGCATTATGAGAGTTTTCTGTGTTTTTTTAAGTAAAATTAAAAATGCATTAGAGAAAGATTTCATTGTATTATATTCTCTCCTATTTTGGTTCTTATGGTTAACTTGTCGTTTTCTATTTTTAGCCAAAATGCTGCACCAACCTTATGGGACTCCTTAGAAGAACCTGACATTCAGGACCCCAGTGAATTTGAGTATTTATTCTCCAAAGACACAACTCAACAGAAGAAAAAACCTCTGTCAGAGACTTACGAGAAAAAAAACAAGGTCAAAAAGGTACTGAGTGATTATAGCAAAGCTATAATTATATGTACACACACACACGTATATATACAATAATACAGGGAAATGGTATGTATATCATATATACACACATATACATATATGTGTCATTCATGGGAATTTATTACATATTAATTATATGTGTGTCTCTATATGAGTCATGGGAATTCATTACATGCTGTTGGTTTGCTTTCCCTGTTTTCAGGAAATGTTTCAGAAGGTTTTGAGTGGTAGAGGGCAAGGGAGCCAATAGTTCATGCATCTGTGCATACTATTTTGGCCATATCTTCCGAATTTTCAAAATTTAATCTGGACTTTTTCAACCGTTAATTCTATTGAAATAAAAATAAAATTTAATTTGTGGTTAGTGAAAGTAGTCTGTAGGTTATATGAAAAAATTGTTTTTTTCTATAAATTCATTTATTTAACAAATATTTCCTAGGGGTTTACTGTGCTAGGCATTTGTCCTAGGCCTACACTGCCCAGTATGGTAACATGTGGCTATTAAGTAATGAAATTAAATAAAATAATGTAGTTTTCATTGTACTAGCCGCTTTACAATTTTGTTGTTGTGGCTAATGGCTACTATATTGGATAGCACAGATGTTAAACATTTCCATCATATAAAAAGCTCTGTTGGACAGCACTGTCATAAGCATTTGGGATGTGTTGAGGGCAAAAAAAAAAAAAAAAAAAAAAAAAATCCTTCCCCCGTGGAGTTTATATTAACAAATGCTAAACACAAACTCTGTCAATCACATATTAGTGCAGGAGGAGGAGGGCCAAGTTTAGTAGGGTGGGAATGAGGTCTGCAATTTAAAATGGGGTGTTCGAGGTAGGCCTCATTATGAAAGTGACTTCTGAGTAGTGACTCAAGGATTGAAAACTGAGAGGCACCAGCCATCTGTAAGAGAATGAGTTTAAGATTGTCAAGCAGTCAGGCAACCATGAGGATGAATCACACTCTGCCCCACACACTCACTGTGAGATCTGAGGCAGTGATGCTAGGTCCTTCCATTCTGTCTGGGTCCCTGCATCGTAGCATGAGATGATGTCTGCTCATAATGTTCCTCTAATTATTCAATGAGGTAATACATGTATCAGGCTCAGCACACTGTCAGTACTCAACATATTATAGCTGCTCTTGCTTTTGCTACTGTTACTACCATGGCTACTATTTCCCTGTTTTAGTGGGTTTTTGTTTGTTTGGTTGGTTTTCCTTATTTTTAATAGTAGCAGAAATGGTGTCAAGGAAAAAGTATAGTACTCCGGTCTGCTATTGATTTGCTATGTGAGCTTGGGCTGGTTGTCTTCCTTGTCATATTTTCCCTTCCCTGTAAAATAGGATTAATAGTACCTGAATCTACCTGACCCTCTAGAATGTCGTGAAATTTACATCTAAGAGGGTCTGCGGCAGTGTTTTGCAAAGTGTATAATATTGAATGATAGCATCAACCCTTTTTTTGTGTGTGTGATAGAATCTTGCTCTTGTCACCCAGGCTGGAGTGCAATGGCACGATCTCAACTCACAGCAACCTCCTCCTCCTGGGTTCAAGCAATTCTCCTGCCGCAGCCTCCCAAGTAGCTAGGATTACAGGCATGCACCACCATGCCCGTATAATTTTCTATTTTTAGTAGAGACAGGTTTCACCAGGTTGTCCAAATTGTTCTCAAACTCCTGACCTCAGGTGATCCACCCAACTCAGCCTCTCAAAGTGCTGGGATTACAGGTGTGAGCCACCATGCCTGGCTACCCTTCCTTCTTAAATTATATAGTGGGGTTCATTATCAGTTCATTTCTCAAGTAATGTAATGATGATGAAATTAGCTGCAAATTACTGGGGACAAATGGAAAATGTCTGAATATAGTTTTCTGTTAATCGAGTCAGATTTTCCCACTGACTTTAATTATGGATACAATCATGATCAAAATTTTTCATCTCTCAAGTTCGCTGGAATTGTGTTGTCTTGAGAAAAATATCCAAATAAGTATTAAAGCAAAATTTTAAGAGGCTATATTGCATGGAACAAATTGAATTTTTCTAATAAATTGGCTCTATGACCCCAACCAAATCTCGTCTCTCATTGTAATCCCCAGCCAGGTGTGGTGGTTCATGCCTGTAATCCCAGCACTTTGGAAGGCTGAGGTGGGCAGACCACCTGAGGCCACCGGTTTGAGAGCAGCCTGATTAACACAGAGAAACCCTGTCGCTACTAAAAATACAAAAATTAGCCCAGCATGGTTGCAGGCACCTGTAATCCCAGCTACTTGGGAGGTTGAAGAGGGAGAATCACTTGAACCTGGGAGGCAGAGGGTGCAGTGAGCCGAGATTGAGCCATTGCACTCCAGCCTGCACAAGAAGAGCAAAACTCCATCTCAAAAAAAAAAAAAATTATAATCTCCACATGTCCAGGACAGACCTGGTGGGAGGTGGTTAGATCATGGGGGCAGATTTCCCCTTTCGTTCTCCTGATAGTGAATGAGTTCTCACGAAATTTGGCTGTTTGATAAGTGTCTGGTGCCACTCCCACCCCACCTTCTGTCTCCTGCTGCTGTGTTGGTAGTATCTTTATAGCAGTGTGAAAATAGATTAATATAAATAGTAAGTTCCAGACAAATCTGCCCCCCCCAAAAAAAAGTCAGCTGATTTACATAAAATGTATTTTCATGCAGTTAGATTCATACGACATGTTGTAACCAGGCTGGCTTTTTAAATGCCATCTGTAGAAACAGAAGACTTGTTTCTACCTGAATGTAAAAAGGAAAATCTCTATATTCCAAAGCTAATTTCAGTTTGCCTCTTTCAGGAAGGCTTCTCTGACTAATCAGAAACTCTGCTGAATACTTCCTTATGCAAGATCATATTAAACTTACTTTTGTTCTCTATTGCTTCTTAGATTGCTATTACTCTTCATTTCTCTCCAGATGCTTGAAAACATGTTGTTTATCATAGAACTATGCACTTCTGTTTTGGTGAATGAGTTTTGTTTTTAAAACATTGAAGCATTTGGTCATTTATTCTTATTTCTTTTCTTATAATGGTTTGCGTATTCAACAAAGGATTTTAACTAAGCCAGTTAGTACTCGATAAATTCATTTTGTTTCTCTGAGGCGGGAAATACGCTTCATTTAAGTTTTCTGTACAGGGTGGTTGCCATTGCCCCGTAGAATCTATGCACTTGAGTAGTGCTTGCTTTTCTCTGTAAGTGGAGGCAAAAAAAAAAAAAAAAAAAAAAAAAAAAAATGGGGTGTACTGGGCTTTGTGGTAATATGCAGCTTGGAGTTTTCAGTAAGCTTTATGTCCTACCTTAGAGCTGAGGTTTTAAGTTTTAAAGAAAATAGCAAGCTGAACTGATGCCAGAAAACTCCAAACCTGCCTCCTATGATCTTTCCTCCATGCCTGTGGCCAGATTTCCAACATCAAGATGGATCCCTTGGTCTCTTCTGAGAGTCAGATGTTTGTTTTCTTCCCTCTTGAAAATGAAAAGTGGTTTTAGAGGTGGTGAGCAGCTGAGGAGTTTCAGCATTGAAGACCAACTCCTTCAGCTGGATCATGGAATGGTTCCCATATGAGAAGACCAGAAGGACACATGCCAAATAGGTCTTTTTGTAATAAAATGACTAAACAGGAGAAAGTACTTAGTATATTACTGGATTTCAAAATCCAAGATTCTGAATCTTGGCTATAGGGCCTCAGCAGCATTGAAATGTGAATATGAAAATATGAATCTCTCTCTCTCTCGGTTTTTTGTTTTTTTTTTTTTGAGACAGAATTTTGCTCTTGTCACCCAGGTTGGAGTGCAATGGCACGATCTTGGCTCACTGCAACCTCTGCCACCCGGGTTCAAGAGAGTCTCCTGCCTCAGCCTCCTAAGTAGCTGAGATTACAGATAGCCACCACAATGCCCAGCTAATTTTTGTATTTTTAGTAGAGACGGACAAGGATTTCACCATGTTGACCAGGCTGGTCTTGAACTCCTCACCTCAGGTGATCCACCTACCTCAGCCTCCCAAAGTGCTGGGATTACAGGTGTGAGCCACTGTGCCTAGCCATGAATATCCCTTAAACACAGCTGATCTTCATCCCTCAGCACATTTCACATGTAATAGGATGATCAAGAGTCTGGAACTCAGATACTGTATTAATTTCTAACTTCAACTACTGCAGTAGTATTTAAAGTTAATATCACTGGCAGTTGTTTAAAGTAACTCTCTATATATATCTTCTTAAACTAGGCAGGGATCCTCTTCTATAATATCATGTAGTCTAAGAATTAGAGGGAATCTTACCCATCATCTAATTCAGTTCTCTCATTTGGCACATGGGAAACTGAGACCTAGAAAGATAAAGTGACTCCTAGGGGTTTGCACACTTTTAACTGGGAAGACGTTGATAATGACAAACACTTGTTCATCAGCATGTGTCAGCATTTCCTCTTTATTTAAATGGTAATTTGCCACATTGGCAATAGTATCAACTTGCACTGGGGTGATTTATTTGAAGTTTATAAATGAGAGTAGCCATTATTAAAATCATCAACAAAATATAGCCACATTTCTGCAGATCCAAAGTATTTCCTACATTGTATAATTATCCACAGTTTTCTTCAGAGTCTTCCAATAGGAAGCCAAATCTTTGAGTAAAAAAATGTGCTTTCTGTGTAACTCCAGCAAAAGATATACAGATTTGGAGCTGGTGTTTTTCTTTGACCTTATCAATTCCATTTAAAATATTAGCTATAATAAAATGAATAGAAATTATTAGACATTTGTATTGCATACTTAGGTGCCATGCTCATTTGTGATACAAGACCACTCTGCTGCTACATAGTAGTAACGAAACTGAGAACCAGAGCTCACAATACCAGCTCTCAGTAAAATCACTACCACTTGGTACGGTCTCATATTTTTTCCTCTCATAACATTCAGAAAAAGTCATTTAACCTTCTCACACTGATTTCTTTTCTACCAAATTGGGAAGAACACCTCCTTA